CGTGAATTAGTTTAGTTAAGACGTATTAGGGGCAGGAGTTCACTGGTCCACTTTCTGAACACACTAAGTTGCCTGCCACCACGATACTGAGAACTGATACTGGCACACATCCAGTCGGTCTCTCTCTTCTCTCTCTCTCTCTCTCTCTCTCTCTCTCTCTCTCTCTCTCTCTCTCTCTCACACACGTTCAATACCCCCCCAAACTGGAGACGTTAACTTGCTTTTCACAACCTCACTTACGATACAACACCTCACTTACGATACAACACCTCACGATACAACACCTCACTTACGATACAACACCTCACTTACGATACAACACCTCACTTACGATACAACACCTCGCTTACGATACAACACCTCACTTACGATACTATACCTCTCTTACGATACAACACCTCACTTACTATGCAACACCCCACTTACGATACAACACCTTACTACACAGCACCTCACGATACAACACATCACTTACGAGACAACACCACACTTACGATTCAACACCTTACTTACGATACAACACCTCACTTACGATACAACACCTCACGATACAACACCTCATGATACAACACATCACTACGATACAACACCTGACTTACGATACAATACCTCACTTACGATACAACACCTCACTTACGATACAACACCTCAAATAATTCTTATGCGTTCAATATTTCCCCGTAAGTGCCTATAGATTAAGTGAACGTACTGTAGATAACGCACTTCAGAACAACAAACGTACAGAAAATCTTACGTTCAGTTCTGCCCCGATATAAGATACAGTAAAACCTCCATTTAACAAACAATATAGAGATGAAAGTCCATTATATTGAGGGTCCGTAAAATATAAAACCTCCATTTAACGAAATATATTGAGTAAAAAGACTTATTTCGAGGGTCCGTTAGATGTAACACCTTCATTTAACGAACAATATAGAGATGAAAGTCCGTTAGTTATAGCGATGGGTCCGTAAAATGTGAAAATCAGAAAACGTAACCAAAATCACTACACTCACACACACACACGACACAAAATGAAGTCATAACTCCACTAAGACTTTTAACAATAACTACTTGGGGTCATTCTCTCATCGCCAGGTAACAAGAAACGACCTTTGTAAAGTAAAATTCTCAAAATATACTCCGTGGTCATTGGTTTACTCACAGCGCGGGAAGTTGCGTCAGTTTGTTGCTGGGAGGTGATGTCACTGAGTTGCTGGGAAGTGTGTGCAGTTAAAGATAAGTGTGGACGTGTGTGTGTTAAGGAAGTGGGTCTTTGTCTCCGGTACTGAGTATATTAAACTTATTGGTGGCGTCAGGTGAGTGAGGTACAGTTAAGAATAGAGGTTACAGCACTTACAGTATATACAGGTACAGCACGTATGTACAGGTACAAGGAGTTAATGTGTTTATAACATAATATACATACAGGTACACTCATTACTATAATTATTATTATTATTATTGATATTATTATTGTTATTATTATTGTTATTATGACTATTATTATTATTATTAATATTATTATTATTATTATTATTATTATTATTATTATTGTTATTACTCTTATTATTATTATTATTGTTATTGTTATTATTATTATTATTATTATAATTATTATTATTACTGTTATTACTATTATTATTATTGATATTATTATTGTTATTATTATTGTTATTATAAAATTATTATTATTATTATTATTGTTATTGTTATTATTATTATCATTATTATTATTATTATCATTCGTTAAGTATAAAATCTTACTTTTACGTTATTTTCTTCCTATATAATAACCTCCAACGGTTGAAAACATCGTTATCTCACGGCCTCAAGAGGACGACAACACCTCACTCAATAGATGTAAACACGAGACATCTGAACCATCTTTCCATTATTTGTTAAAAAGGAAATATATCATTACACTACAATTCGATATTTCACAAACAAGACTCAATACATGTCCTCGTCTCTCAGCCTGGAGGGAAAGAGAGAGAGAGAGGGAGGGGGGCGAAGGAGGTGATGCTACGTGAGACGACCAGACCGACACTGGGAAGAATACTAGTGTAAACAAAGATGATTATGCTTAGGTAAAATCCCCTTGAGTTTACAGATATGTGTCAGCCTCGTCGTTTCTTCAGGTAGACAGGTTGTTTGTTTGATGTTATTATTCATTGTTTTGTTTCTATATTTTTTTTTATCTTCTACTTTTTGCATTTTATTATGTGCAATTTTCTTCTGTTTTCTCTTATTTTCTTTTATTGTTTACTGACTTGTGTTATTATTAGTTTATTCATTGTGTCATTCGTATTTTGTATATCTGTGTAGCTATTAATTCATTATATCTTATTATCATTTATCTCTCTCTTGTCCGTCTTCTCCGTCGTGTTTATCAAGACGTGACACCTGGCCGGGGATTCCCCTAGGCGGAAGTCAGCCATCAATCTTGACATATATGTTTTTACACCGCTGATGCCGCCCTCCTTAACGACCTAATGACCTGGATGACGGCTCCCTAACTACCTCTACTGGGAATTACATCTTGTGTGGTTTCCCGTCCCGGTCTTCTTGACTGAAATGATCGAACGTTTTTCCTCTCTCTCTCTCTCTCTCTCTCTCTCTCTCTCTCTCTCTCTCTCTCTCTCTTGTATGCCTGGTTTAGTGAATGCTTGTTTAGTTACTGTCAAGGGTAGAATCTTAGTGCAATACTGAACTCATTATTTTTGTTGTTGTCGTCTTTGTGTTATATATCGTATTTCATGTTTCCCGGTAACAGAATATTTCATCGTTTTGTTTTGAGAATCTATTTTTCTGTCGTAAAGGTACGAGAGAGAGTTATATACGTTCTCTCACCTCCAGTTACGAGGAAAATTTAATGTACTGATCTGGTGTGGGCAACGGTACTCAGAAGGGCTGCTAGTTGTGTATTTGTGGGAGTTGGCTCCGTGCTGCTGTTACCGAGAACTGGCGGGAAGGCGTGGCAGTCTTAGTGCCAATACGGGCAATCAGTAACGCCCGGTGATCTTTTTAACCCCGCAGTGAAAACTAATGAAGATTCATCCTGATTATCTTCGCTAAAATCATCGCCAGTGTGAGCATTCAGTAGCGCGAGGCGACCAATTTCACCTTGCATTGACACAGTTACTGAAGGTACGCCTAACGAACACATTAAAATCATCGCGTGTGAGCATTCAATAGTGCCTGGCGACACATTTAACCTAATATTGACACAGTTACTGAAGTAACGCCAAACAAACACGGTAACAAATCATTGCCAGTACGAGCATTCAGTAACACCAGACTTTCGCTTTCATCCGACATCGAAAAAAAAAGACAGGGCGTAAAACAGATTGAATAAGATAAATGTTTGTGTTTCATCAATTCTCGGTAACGCGTCTCTTGTCTTCCCTGATCTCACTCACTCATCTTGTTTTCCCTCCTGAGTTTTGGTTTTATTTCCATCCATCCAACCAACCAACACACACACACACAAAACAATAATTTATCTCTTTATGAACGTGTGTGTGTGGTGACAGGTTCACGTATAGGATCACCTGCCAGCACTACGTAGAACTGAGGACAAGGCCGCTAGCTACTCACTGTGTTTCCCAGCTCTTAGTGTCTCATGGATGATGAACACAGTATTGACGATGACGATATAATACAGCAACTACTACTTTTGCTACTACTACTTTTGCTACTAGTAATGTTACTACTACTGTTGCTACTACTACTACTACTACTGTTACTGCTACTAATAATGTTACTACTACTGTTGCTACTACTACTACTGTTACTACTACTACTGTTACTGCTACTAATAATGTTGCTACTACTACTACTGTTGCCACTACTACTACTGTTACTACTACTACTACTGTTACTACTAATAATGTTGCTACTACTACTACTACTGTTGCTACTACTACTACTACTGTTGCTCCTACTATTACTGTTGCTACTACCATTACTGTTGCTACTACTATTACTGTTGCTACTACTTCTACTACTACTACTACTACTACTACTCCTACTGTTGCTCCTACTATTACTGTTGCTACTACTACTGTTGCTACTACTACTACTACTGTTGCTACTACTATGTGGCCTCCAGCCTCTCCCAATAGCCACACCTTCGCCACCATTTAATTACCTTAATATTAAATATCCTAATACATATGTAGCTATCCTATCTGTGTTGAATTAGTTGAGCTACTACTACTACTACTACTATTACTACTACTACTACTACTGTTGCTACTACTACTGTTGCCACTGCCGCCGCCGCCACTGCCACCGCTGCTGCTGCTATACAAATAATGATACTAATAACAATAACAAAACATGCATAACATAAACGAAAAGTAAAACAAACACAATGTAAACAAAACGAGATAAACAAAGGGAAGATGATGATTAATGAATTAAAGAAACAAGAAATAATCAATAATAATTTATCATCTTTAAACAACTAACTAGGAAAAATAATAATAAGAGTTCTTTCACTTATAAACATGTAGGTAAAGGGAGACTATGATAAACGAGAGAATGATTATATAATGAGATAAAACAGTGACTCAGAGGTTAAACAAGGTGAAGACTAGATGTGCAGTGCCATTATCTCACACTACTAGGAATTGCCTGCCTGCCCTACCCTCCTGGCACACACCTAAGCTTGGCACTGACCAGACCAGCGAGTGAAAAAGTCTCTCTCTCATTCTCTTTCATTCCTAATCTTTCCGTTATATTCATATATCTTCGTCTTCTTTATAGAGATTACACGTATAAAGATTATATCACAGGATAAAAAGTGTTCTGAATAAAAAGTGTTTTAATTTGTGTGTTGATTATGTAATGGATTTTCAGTTAAGTTTTGGGTGGGAAGTAAATAATAGAAATTCAGAGAAGCGAGACGGAAGAACTGGCTTACTGGCAGGTTGGCTTCTCTGCTCGCTCACAACACTCCGGGATTCCCATAACATTGACAGCTTGCTCCCCAGGTCTTGAGGGAACCCATTAGTCGTCTGCTACCACGTAAACGAAAACTCCCCGGTGACGTCACAAGTGTCAGGGGAATATAACCTGGGCAGGTCGTCGCCAACACCACACACTGAACTGAACCGTCCTAGTGACAAGAGCAGCAAGCCTCTACACCTCGTGGATATTACAGTCTTGGTGAACTACTACTGATAATTTACTACTCGGAGTTACAAGCTCTCTGAATTACAGTGTCTGGCTTTCTGTATCATCAGTGATAAGTGTGAATCACAGCTTTTCTGCAGCTTCTACCCAAACATATTTAGAAGGTATGTGTTTTCTCACAACCTGTTGTTATTGTATCATGACAGTAATGATCAGGTGGTGACAAATGTATGGAATTAATTTATTTCTCATTAAGTTCCTCCAACAGAACAATTAATATATTTGTTTCTTTATCTACAGAGATGGCTGAGGGTGGCGCCACCGTCAACTTCCACAATATCAAGATGCTGGAGCTGCCGAGGCTGGAGCTGGACCGTCATTTCTGTGACGTGCGTCTGCTGGCGGAGAACAGCGGCGCCAAAGTCTACGGTGCCAGTCAACTCCAGTCTGGTGCCAGCGTCGCTCTCAAGTGCATACAGAAGGAAACCACCAAGAAGAAGGACTTCTGCCGCGAGTTCCACCACAGTTACAACCTTGGTCTTCACCCTAACATTATTACATGTTTTGAAGAAGTTTTTGAAACTAACACCGCCTACGTTTTTACTCAAGAATTCGCCCCATTGGGCGACCTCTCGAAGCAAGTGAAGAAAGGCGGCACTGAAGAAGAACGAGCCAAGCGTGTGGCAGAGCAGGTCGCCTTTGCTTTAGAGTTTATGCACAAGAAGGATCTGGTTCATCGTGATGTTTGCTCGGAAAATATCTTCGTCTTTGACAACGATTTATCACGAGTCAAGTTGGGTGACTTCGGCAGCACACAGCGAGTTGGAGCCTTCGTGAAGAAGCAGAAGGTTCGGTCACCTTGGGCTCCACCAGAGGTGAGCCTCACCGTGTACAACGAGGGCTACCTCGTGGACACTGCCCAAGACGCCTGGCAACTTGGTATCCTCATCTTCGTGTGCCTGACGGGCTCATATCCTTGGTCGTCGGCCGACATCACAGACCGCCATTACAACTCGTGGGTGGCCTGGCTCAAACGTAAGACTACCAAGATGCCTCCACGCTTCAAGTGCTTTACTCCTCGCCTTCTTCGCCTTCTGCGACGCCTTCTGGAGCCTAAACCCGAGAAGCGCTCAGGTGTCAGGGAGGTGTACAAGTACCTGTCTGACCCCTGGCTCATCGAGTCTCGTAGTTCTGCTGTTGAAGCTGCCAGTATCAGCTCTTCAGAAAGTTTAATGGCTGGTAGTAAGAGGTCACTGTTGATGCGCGCAGAAAATAAGTTGATTGAAATAATTCGTTCCTATGTGCTGCACTACCACTCACTGGCAGACCAGAAGCACACTGCCCACGCTTCTTCTGCCGTAGACTTCGTCGCTGGAGCGAGATATGTGGTGCCTGCATGAAACTAACACTCCTTCCGTGTGGTCAAGATGATCCAGGATACTCACCTTCACCGGTATGACCCAGGCAGCTGACCCCACACCTGTGTGACTCGGGCAGCTGACCCCACACCTGTGTGACTCGGGCAGCTGACCCCACACCTGTGTGACTCGGGCAGCTGACCCCACACTTGCGTGACTCGGGCAGCTGACCCCCACACCTGTGTGACTCGGGCAGCTGACCCCACACCTGCGTGACTCGGGCAGCTGACCCCCACACCTGTGTGACTCGGGCAGCTGACCCCACACCTGCGTGACTCGGGCAGCTGACCCCCACACCTGTGTGACCCAGGCAGCTGACCCCACACCTGCGTGACTCGGGCAGCTGACCCCCACACCTGTGTGACCCAGGCTGTTGTCCTACAATAAGGTGACCTGAGCGCTAAGCAGCACCCGTGTACCGGGGTTGTTGGCTCACCCCTGAGGAACTCTGGGTGCTGACATGATCAACACTAGACCTCTCCAGCGCTGTCTGTCAGTCTCCCTCAACCCCCCCAACCCCTTCCCGTTCCCCTAGACCTAACGGTTTCTTAAATTTTCATTACCATTTTTTTATTGGTTTAGGGAATTTCATTGTTTTTAATTTCAAATACTATTTCCCCTGAAGTTTAAAAGCTAATTATTAATTTTTGCTCAATAATGTTAAATGCTGTTTTATCTTGTTTGAGTCTTCATATTATTCATTAACAAATTTATATTTTTCTAAGCAAGAATACTACTTCATGTACCTAATTATTGTAATATAAATTTGTTAAGGGATGTGCTTAGTATTGTATTTTTCTACACTTTTATATCATTAGTGTTACTTATATAACAGTGAACGGCTCACTTAGTGCTGCTGACACGTTCAAGTTCGTTATAGAACTTGTATTACGATGTCACCACGTGATGAATAAACTTTTGTTACTTTCTGATAATCTTGATGTCTACTGTGTTTGTTCTGTAATAAAGAATCATCAAATATATCTATAAGTTTGTTTACCAATGTAGTTATTACACCATGAATTAATTTATTTTACAAGTTTACTGAAGACTGTTAATGCTTCGTAAACAAAACACATACACGATAGGAAGATTATTAATAAACGACTGATAGAAAACAAACGCAACATAGAAAACGTTATTTGGTGTAACTATAACTAACTCATTTTCCTTTACTCCTCTACCTTCCTCTCTACCTCACTTCTCTCACTTTATCAATATAAAGGAGATAGAATAATCGCTACACCTAAAACATTCTATATAACCGGGATATATATTTTAAGTTATGACTCCCCATTGATCTCTTACTACTGGATATACATTAATACTAGATCAAGGTCGCTCATTAGAGAGTTATTGGGAAATAGATTTAAGCAAGACGAGGAAGACAAGATACAGCTGAGTGAAGGAAGAACTCAAGCTGCTCATCTGGAAGTTTGAAAGGAATAACTCGGAGCGTTCCCAAGTTAAGAGTTATATTAGAGGTTCAGAGTTTGTACGATACTGTTTTATGAGACGTGTGTGCCTGTGTGTGTGTGTGTGTGTGTCAGTTTGTGCGTGTGTGTGTGTGTGTGTGTATGAGTCAGTATGTGTGTGTGTGTATCTGATAAAGTGTATACCCTCGCAGCTCTCTCTACTTAGCACACGTCTTCTGTTATTACTAGTGAAGGTCTCTCTCTCTCTCTCTCTCTCTCTCTCTCTCTCTCTCTCTCTCTCTCTCTCGTCTGCTGGTGAGTCAACATGCTTACATTGTGGAAGTATACGTATCCCAAACCCATCCTCATGCCCATCCCACCTCGTTACCCAGTCATATATCCACCTAACAACCCACCGACCCACCCATTCACCCAACAACCCACCCACCCTCACATCCACCGTACTATCTCCTTGTTACCCCACCCTTACACCCACCTACCCATTAACTCACCCACCCATGCACCCTCATCACACCCCATGCCACCCAACCACTCCCACCCAACCTCAACCTTGTGCTCTTCTATCTTATTTCCAATGCATTTCGTCTCTCTTGCTACTTCCAACTCTTAATTTGTCTTCAATCGTCTATTTCTCTAATAAATTTAAACTTTATTCGTTTTATACTCACTTCGAACTTTTTTTCCTGTCTAGTGAACGTTACCTTTCTACTTTCTACTTTCTATTTTGTAATCTACTTTCTACTGGCCAATAATCATCTGCCATCTAGCCTTTACATAACAGGCCCGGGGGTTTTCCTTTTTGGTGACGTCACGGGCGCCCACCTCCATCACGATGACGTCAGAGAACGACCCCATCCCGCCCCCTCCCCCCTCTTGGCTGTCACCTCGCCACCTGTATCTCGTCATGTCTCGCTATAATAAGAGGTATATTTATGTCTGTCTCTTAATGCTCCCTCGTATATATTATTTATTTTTAACTTTCTAATTTCTTATAATAACGTTTATCTTTATGTTGTTATCTTTCATATTTATTTACATTATCTTTATGGTTCATCTTTGCTGTATGTTTCTTTATCTCTTATTTATTACATTATGATATTTCCTTCTTTATTACCATGGTTATTTAATCCTCCATTCATTACACTGTTTCTCTGTTTCATTGAGGTAATATATTTAGTTAATATTACCTGTCTCTCAACATTCAGTAAATTACAGGTATTACAACTATCGGGTCACCTGAAGATTAGCCACCCTAGCTTATTTTACTTGAGGATTAAACACCTTAACCTAACCTAACATAACCTAACTTGATCTAATCTAACATAGGCTAACCAAATTTAACCTAATCTAACTTACTTGTTGGAATGATGAGAGAAAGAGAAGGGAGAAAAAGAGAAAAGAGAATAGAGAAAGAAAAATAAAGAGTAGAAGAGGGAAGGGAGAGAGAGAGAGACAGACAGATAAAGAAAAAAGAGAACAAGACAAAGCATAAAGATTTCAAGAGTATTAACAGAAGAGGAGGAGAAGCAGGAAGAAGGAAGGAAGAGAAGAAGAAGAAGGGGAGGAGAAAGAGAATAAAAGGATGATAAGAGGAGAGATGAACACAAGGAAGAGAGTGACAACAAGAGTAAACATGACGTCATTTTTTTTCTTCTTTTGATTCTCTTTTATCTATTTTTTCCCTCTTCCCTTCTTTGTTTATCCCCGCCGTGTGTCATGTCATCTCCGTTTAAGTAGGGGTGGGAGGAGTAGGTGGGCGGGAATGGGCTGTGGTCTGGTAAAATCGTTGAAGTTACTCTGGTACCCTGCTGCTATGTTGTTGATACTGTTGGAACAGGTTTTTCGTCAAAATGATCAGTGAACTTCTGAGTTGGTGGGTGAATGGGTGGGTCGGTGGGTTGTTAGGTGGGTAGATGTAGGGAGAAAGGGAGGGAAGAGGGGGGGGGGTCAATGGAGGAGGGAGGGGTCAAGGAGGAAGTAAATCTGGACGAATCAAGGTAGGTCAGGAGGCTCAAGTCAATACATTACCATTTCCTGGGTGAGTTTTTTCTTTATTAATTGACATTTGATAAGCTAATTAAACTGTGGCTGACAGACGTGACGTGACTGACAATTGAAGCTGACAGGCGTGACAGTCGGAGCTGACATATGGCTCCTCCCACAACAGGATACAGATGGTGTAGTAGTCGTAGTTGTTGTTGGCTCCACGGCTCCGGGGTTCCCGGAACGAGTCGAGCTTTGACGTCAGTGAAGAAGTGTTATTGAGAATGACTGTGTCTCCCGCAGAACCGATTATGATGATGATGATGATCATGATGGTGGTGGTGGTGGTAACTTCCCGCTAATGCCACCGCTTGTGGGATTTCCTTCTTTCCCCATATATTCTACCAGGAGAGAATAGAGACGGCTGGTAAGCAGAGGTCCTCCTGCTTTATACACCTCGGATGGGATTCCATTAGGCCTTGAGGCTTTGTTATTTTTCATCTGTTTGATGACAGTAGCTACCTCATCCAGGGATGGAGGATAGCTGAGGTGGGTCAGCTCTGGATGCCGAGGGACATGCTGGGTAGTCAGGACATGTTTCGGTTAAGCAGTGAATGTTAGTGCTCTTTCCAGCGCTGAAGGATGCCTTCTTCGTCTTTAATTAGGGAGTTACCGTCGGATGAGCAGAGAGGGGCTGTGCCATGAGTGATTAGCCCATAAAATGTTTGAGTGGAATTGAAAAATTCGCGCATCTTTGTGTTGATCTACATTTTTTTGCATTTCACATGCGTTATTTTTAAACCGGGCATTTCTTTGTTTGCGAAGTTCGCGCTGGACCGTCGCTTTCTTCTTGAGGAAGGTATCAGCTTTGGTCCGAGCCTGAAGGCTGTTCTGCCAGTCGGTTAAAGCAGCACTTTTATTTATCATCAACGAGTACATTGATTTCCGGGTCATTTTCGTCAAACCAGTCCTGGTGTGTTCTTTCGATTTAGCCGAGGGTCTCTCTGCAGGTTTTTCTCCAAACAGTGTCGAGAATACCCCATTCGGCACTGGGAATTGGGTTGCTTGTTGTCGGGTTGTTTATCAGCCCCAGTACAAACTGATCTTTGAAAACATGTGCTACTGCTGGATCCTCCAGACGCTTAGTGTTAAAACCTCTTGTGGAGGCTTGTTGCCTTTGCCGCTTTGGGGCGACGTGAAGTGAGAGCTTGGCTCTGACGAGCCGATGATCAGTGTCGCAGTGGTCTGAGCCACGCATTGCTCGGGTGATGCGTACAATTCGGCAATCTCTTTCTCTGACAATGATGTAGCCAATGAGATGCCAGTGTTTGGATTGTGGATGTTGCCACGAGCCCTTGAACTTGTCGGCCTTCTTAAACAGGGTATTGGTGATAGTGAGGTTGTGTGCAGCACACTTGCTGAGGAGGAGTAGGCCGTTGGGATTACACTTGCCTAGTCCATTTCTCCCCATGACTCCCTGCCAAATGTCAGCATCTCTGCCAACTCTGGCATTGAAATCACCAAGGAGCACAACCTTATCTTCTCTGGGGATAGAGGTTAGCACTTTGTCAAGGTCGGCATAAAAGGTCCCCTTGATGCCATCCTCTGCAACCAGTGTTGGGGCGTATGCACTGATGAAGAATGCATGACGTGAGTGATTCAGTGAGACTCTAAGCGTAATGAGACGCTCGCTGATCCCAACAGGCATTTCAGTTAGCACTGTGTAGGACTCATTGGCGGATAGCAAAACCAACTCCATAAATGCGGTTTCTCTCCGCAGCAGGCTTACCCTTCCAGAAGAAGGCATAGCCAGACCCCCGTTCTGTGAGTTGACTCTCATCTGGGAGCCGGGACTCACTTATGGCTGCTATGACGATGTTATACCTAGCCAGCTCTTTTGCCACAAGGGCAATTCATTTTTCTGGGCGCGCATTTGTGCCAGTATCCAGAAAGGTCTTGGCATTCCATGTAGCGACCATAAAAGGTTGTATAGTTTGTTTTTGTTTTGATCTGGGATTATGATTGTCTTTTCGACCGCCTAATGATGACCTTAGTGGGTGCGGTTGCCCAGTCAGGTTGGGTTGCAGTCTGCACTCCTGCTTCACCACATAAATCAACTCACGCGCAGCCATCATCCAGCTCATCATACTCATCGTCATCATCAAACCCTTATACCCAGTCATCTATCCACCTAACAACCCACCCACCCGCCCATTCACACACCCACCGTAATATATCCTTGTTACCCATCCTCACACCCACCTACCCAAGTAATGTAATACCGATTTTCAAGAAAGAAGATGTATCACTATCCTCTAACTGGCTCTCGGTCACTTGGCCGACAGACATTTGGCCGACGAACATTTCACCGAATGGACAAATAGCCGTACTTAACCTAACCTAGCCTATACAAATGTGCATAAAAGAATTTCTATCGTGCATATGTATCACATTGCAATTGTGTTATCTTTTTATCTAGTGTTTTATAAAGCAAATAAATCGCAAAGAAGAAAGAAAATAAAAATAAATAAATAAAAAGGTCATATGTCCATTCGCCCAAATGTCCGTTCTGTTAATTGTCCGTTCGGTCTATTGTCCGTTCGGCCAAATTGTCTGTCGGCTCAATGTCCGTTCGGTCAAATGTCAGTCGGTGAAAAGACCGTCGGCCAAATGTACTTCAGCCATCTGTCCGGCCACGCTCTAACTACCGTCCAATCAGCTCAACATTAATTGTAGGCAAATTACGGGAAGCAATAATTTCAAATTCTATTCGAAATCACCTGGAGAAGCACAAGTTGATCAATGATTCCCAACATGGCTTCACAAGTGGGCGTTCATGTCTAACTAATCTATTAACATTCTTTTCAGTTGTTCTCGAATCAGTGGGCGAGGGGCACGACTATGATGTGGTATATCTTGACTTTACTAAAGCCTTCGACAGAGTCCCCTACGAAAGACTAATAAGAAAAGTGGAGGCTCATGGCATTGGAGGAGATATTCTAAAATGGATTAGGGCGTGGTTACAGGACAGGAAACAGCGAGTGAGCATTAACGGCACTAAATCCGATTAGAGTAACGTCACTAGCGGAGTACCCCATGGCTCAGTACTTGGACCAGTATTATTTATTATATACTTAAACGACATAGATATCGGCGTAGACAGCAACATAAGTAAATTTGCTGATGGCACTTAAATAGGGCGTGTAATTTAATCTGACGAGGATTCCGCAAAACTACAGGAAGCTCTAACAAATTTTTCGAATGGTCTGAAAAATGGCAGATGAGATTCAATGTGGACCAATGTAAAGTACTTAGTCTTGGAGATGTAAACATAGAAACCAGATATCAGATGAACAACGATGTTACAGAGAAATCCGAATGTGAGAAATATTTAGGAGTAATGATGAGTAGGAATCTTAAGCCAAGTAAACAATGTGTATTTGCTCGAAACAAAGCTAATAAAGTACTTGGGTTCATCCAAAGAAGTGTTAGTTACAAGACTAGAAAGGTCATCCTAAAACTATATCTTGCGCTTGTGAGACCTCACTTGGATTACGCAGTTCAATTCTGGTCACCGTATTACAGAATGGATATAGAATCCTTAGAAAGAATTCAGAGGAAAATCACAAGACTAATCCCGGCCATTAGGAACCTTGAGTACAGAGACAGGTGAAAGCATCTAAATTTGCACTCCCTCGAGAGACGTACAGTGAGGGGCGATATGATAGAGGTGTATAAATGGAAGTCAGGGCTAAACAAAGGGGACAATGCAAAGGTACTCAAACTATCCAGCCAGGAGCGAACTCGTAACAATAGTTTTAAATAACACAAATTTAGATTTAGGCGCGAAATAGGTAAACATTGGTTTGGAAATATAGTGGATGAATGGAACAAGTTACTAAACATCATCATTAACTCGAATACGTTGGATAGCTTCACACATAGATTGGATGGATATATGAGCAATAGGGGTTGGGTATAAATGTGACTGCCCAGTATGGACCAATAGGCCCGCTGCAGTTTCCTCCATTCTTATGTTCTCATGTTCTTATACCCCAAAAGTCCTATGGCGACGGACGAGTGGCGACGGGGACAGGCAGAGATGACTGCCATGAGTCTCCAGTCACAACTCTGCACATGGACGGCAGAGATAAGATGGTCGTTTATGCACTGGGATCTAGGCAGCAGTGCAACCCGGTAATGTCTGTGCGACTGAGCAGTCCTCACGAGGAGCCACTCTGCTCACCCCACATGGGGAGGGGGCTAGAAAAGGTTCTCTAAACATAGCCTGCCTAAAGATCATACACACACATACAGATACATACATACATGCATACATACATACATACATACATACACATATATACGCTTAAAACACACAAATAGTTGTGATACGTACACACACGAATAATATACGTACACACAGTGAAGATACGTACTCACACACACGGTCAATATATGTACACAAGCAGTTTAGATTCGTTCTCGCATACACGGTTCGCATACGTATACACACATAGTTAACATACGTACACACATACATGAACACACAGTTATCACTAATACACACACACACACACACACACACACACACACAGTAAAACACAATTAGTATACAGCATATATACACTGTTAACACGTACATACACAATTAACAGAGTACATACGCAATTTACATAGTTATCACACGCACATACACAGTTAACATACATAGTTATCACACGCACATACACAGTTAACATACATAGTTATCACACGCACACAGTTAACATACATAGTTGTCACACGCACATACACAGTTAACATACATAGTGATCACACGCACATATACAGTTAACATACATAGTGATCACACGCACATATACAGTTAACATAGACAGTTAACATACATACATACACACAGTTGCAACACAATATCTGGACACTTTTGTTCCCAGACATAGATCCATACATGAAATTTCTGGAAGATTTTCCCGTAAGATTCGTTCACTGTCGTCAACTTGTAGGAAAACTGAGAACGAAGTTACGAACGCTGTAGATTGTCTGGGACTGAGACTGAGAGACTTGTTACTGACTGCGGCTGTTGTTCGTCTTCACATAATAGTCTTGTTGTTCAGAGATTGTCTCTGAATTTTGTTTGTCACGGACATATCTAGTTTTGCTTTTAAATGAATTTTTTGCTTCTCGCAATTCGGCCGGAGGGATGGAGTAGAATACTGTATATGCATTTTGAGCAAATGTAAAATACATGTCGTTAGTTTTCGCTCAGCGTGACAGCTGCAGCTGGCCCAGCAACCAAACATCTTTAAGATCTGGACGATGTGGGATGAACACTGGTGGTGTCCGAAGACATTCTTTTGTTATGTATTATTTTAAAATAATAATATCCTCGGCAACCTATACTATTCTTTTTTTCTGTAGCAGACATAATATGTGTTTCTATGTATCACTTTTTGCCTGAACAAAGATAAGTTTGGCCATACAACTAAATTTCCACTCGGCCGTTGCATTTTCAGGAGGTTTTAGTCGTGCGCGGACGGCGCAACCTGGCTCAGTCGTCATGACAACGACGCAGGCGCCGCCCACCCTATGACGTAGTCCATGACGTCACAGTCGCCATAGGATGAAAAGACGGGAGGTCGCGGGCCTCGACTGCAGAGTGCCTCCAACCACAGAGATAGGTGGATACACACCATTCCACCAGATTATATTGAATTTATACCTTCGGGTACACATCAGTGACAATCCTGGATTATTATTACTTCACCAAAACGGATTCTCCAGCACCATCTTCAGGTGTGTGTGGGTGCACCTGTTACTGGGGTGTGCGTTTATGTCAATACAATCCGCACATGTTCATACCAATACGACTTTCACGCTCAGGCATACGGTTCAACACAATAACTATACACCTACTCATCAACACGACATTCACACACATATCATACACATCAACACAAAAGCCTCACTCATGTATGTTGGCTATAAAACACGACCACTGATTCCCGACATGTGCACACTAAACACCAGTGAGTGCGTGTCAAGTCCCAAATGACATTATCAGAATGATATCCTAATTGACAGCAAGATATAACACTGCCTAAACATTACGTTATTAGGAATGACAACTATCTTGACAAGACATGGCAGAATTAAACAGTGGCATTCAACCTGAGATGTCATGAAAGTATAAGGAAATGACACTTGCCAGAGGAAGATATGCAGGTTGACAGTGTGACATGGGAGCGTACAGTACACGAGGTGGGTTACAGAGGGTCACCAGAAATATTGTAAGACATTCTAACTTTAATGTTTAGTAGGATGCTAGATGACATTAAGTTTTACGATGCATGTTTAGTGATAATATTGGGTTTTAACTAGAACTAAACTACCATTTGTTGTTGTTGTAGGAGAATATTACTATCAGTTGTTGAAGAAACTAACATCCGCCTCCTCTTCCTCCCCCAGAGATGAGTGGCGGCAGTAAGAGCGCCAGCTTCCATCGCGTCAAAACATTCGAGTTGCCGAGACTGGAGCTGGACCGCCAGTTCTCGGACGTGCGGCTACTGGCGGAGGGATGGTACGCCAAGGTGTACGCCGCCAAGCACCACGAGTCCGACAGCCAGGTGGTGCTCAAGTGTGTACAGAAGGAGACCACCAAGAAGAAGGACTTCTTCAGAGAGTTCCACTACAACTATTACCTCAGTCCGCACCCTAATATTGTCAACAGCTTCGATGTAGCCTACGACGCCAACAACTCCTTCGTGTTCGCCCAAGAACTGGCGCCCAACGGTGATCTGGCGCAGTTTGTCAGGAAGGGTGGACTCGGGGAGATGCGAGCCAAGAGAGTGGCGGAACAAATCGCCTTCGCCCTAGAGTTTGTACACAGTAAGGACCTGGTTCATCGTGACGTCAGACTGGAGAACATATTCGTCTTCGACCGGGAGCTCTCGCGAGTGAAGCTGGGTGACTTCGGCAATACCCAGCGTGCAGGAGCTCTAGTAAAGAAGGTGAACGTGCGAGTGCCGTGGGCCCCTCCCGAGGTGTGCCAGGCGGTGTATAATGAGGGTTATCACGTGGAGACCTCTCTAGACGCCTGGCAACTGGGCATCCTCATCTTTGTGTGCCTGACGGGATCATATCCTTGGTACTCCGCCGACATCACAGACCGCCATTACAACTCGTGGGTGGCCTGGCTCAAACGTAAGACCACTAAGATACCTCGTCGCTTCAAGTGCTTCACCCCTCGTCTTCTTCGCCTTCTGCGACGCCTTCTGGAGCCCAAGCCTGAGAAGCGAGCAGGTGTGAGGGAAGCGTACAAATACCTCTCAGACACCTGGCTCGTAAAGGGGATGGACCCCGTGGATATCGCCTTCGACGAGAGTTCATCGGAAATTTTCGTCACTAGCACCAAGCCTTTGTATGAATGTGCGGAGAAGAAGAAACTGGTGGACCTTCTGAGATCGTACGGCATCCAGACGACCGTTGACAAGAAGGAGACGACAAAACGCATCTGTGAGTGGCTTCTGACTTCTGCGTCGCCCACCCAGCGGGGAATGTAACCCAGGACGACCTTCACACCTACTGCTCAACGTAACTGTGGCTGCTGAACCACACCTGTGACCCAAGCTGCTCGCTTACACCTGTAAGTTCCTTGGTGTTCACCTGCACATATGTGACTGAGTTTTGACTCATGTGTATGACCCAGGCTACTCATCTACACTGTGTGACCCAGTATAGTAATTTACACCTGTGTGACCCAGGCTACTCACCTGCACCTGTGTGATCCTGGGTGATAACGACGCGTGTAGGTGACGTTACCGTGCCAAAGACGGCGTGTGTTGCTTCCGTGAGCACCACCGCACCCCCCTGACTGTGATAAACCTTACCTGGGGAACAGTGATGACACTCGCCTTCTACACCATTTGTTGTGTCTCAACCAAACGTTGGCGAGGACAACCAATCGTTCAAGAGGACGACCAAACGTTAAAAAGGACGACCAAGCGTTAAAGAGGACGCCCTTGTACTACACGATCAGCTGGAGTCCTGACCAAACGTTTGTGAGGCCTGACCAAAACAAACTTCACAACCTAATGTCAAACTCCCACATATCAAACGCGTTTGTTAGATTTTTGATATGGAAATCGAGCCCACAATCAATATATATCGATATATACCAGGTAATTCATCTTATCCTTTGTATCAAAGGAAGTATTAGAGATTTTTTAAAAGATGGGGTATTTTGCTAGGGATATAATTAAGTTTTTGTGTACTTTATGTACATTATTTTTCTCAAGCTTGTTAATGGCTGCTAGACTTAGTCTTCCAAGGTAGAGGAGCTTTGGTAGTGACCCGCACATGCTGAGGAGGTGACGCATTCCTCAGCTCTCACTGTGAGGATGTCACGGGGAGAGGAGACCGTGTTTGTCTAAGCCCGTGCCCACAGCTACGGACAGACCACGGCTGAAATGTTCGTTAAGTTTACAACCATAACAACAACCACGGACACATCCCCACACACACCCTACAGCCCACGCTTATCTGTTGCTGTGGGGTGTGTAAACTGTGGCTGGAACCTCTGACTTACCCGAGACGACTCCTTGTAAGAGCTGAACCAACCATGACCCTGAGTAGTAGCCGGGTGGTGTAAGCCTGTACCTGGTCCTACCATCTAGCTGAACCTTACCTGGCCTTACCAACCAGCTGAACCTTACCTGGCCTTACCAACCAGCTGAACCTTACCTGGCCTTACCAACCAGCTGAACCTTACCTGGCCTTACCAACCAGCTGAACCTTACCTGACCTTACCAACCAGCTGAACCTTACCTGGCCTTACCAACCAGCTGAGCATATCTCACACAATAGCTAGTCCAATCTCTCTCTCTCTCTCTCTCTCTCTCTCTCTCTCTCTCTCTCTCTCTCTCAGGTCAGGTACAGGTAAAAAGAAATACAGATTGCCAGACAAGAGCGCTTCAAGTGGGCGCGTTGAAGGTTGTGTGAGACAGTGACCTGTTCCAGTGTATTGAACTATTTTATATATTCTTATTTATTAATGAATGAAGACTGAAATCAAAAAATAAAATGATAACTCGTTGATCTTCCTTTATTTTTATGATGCCTTTGTGGTGGTGGAAAGTGTTTACACTGTATGTCTGTCTGTCTGTCTGTCTGTCTTTTCTCTATGTATTTTCTCTCTATCTGTCTATCTGTCTCACTATTATTAACCAATACAATCATTATTTATCTGTACCTCTCTCTCTCTCTCTCTCTCTCTCTCTCTCTCTCTCTCTCTCTCCGGTAATCTGAAGAAATATACTTGAGCTACAAAAATAAGCTAATAAGCCAACAGCTAACAACCAATAAAGACAAGACCTAAAACAGACATGAGTTACGAAAAGACATCACCTTAGAAATCAACTGAAACAGACATCAGTCTAAATAGATTTAAGCTTAAACAGGGATCAGTTTAAATAGAGATCAGCTTAAACAGAGATCAACTTAAACAGATATCAGCTTAAACATAACAGCTTGAACAAAAATGAGCTTTAACTGATATCAGCTTAAGCAGACAACACCTTAAAATAGACATCAGCTTAAAATAGCCATCAGCTTAAAGAAATATAAACTTATAAAACACATTAGCTAAAAAAAAAATATTCCAAGAACAAGAAAAATCATCAACCGGTCGCTATGACGTCACCGTGCGTGCGGAGGAGCGCATCGTAAACACCAGCTGATGCCTATGACGTCACGGGGAGGGTACCAGCCTTCCTTCATTATAGTGAGTGCGTGGCTGGAGGGTCTGGGGAGGCACTCTGTTGTGGCACTACTGGTTTTCTCAGGGGTTATATAAGGGGTCATATTAAGAGTTATTTAAGGGGTTGTATCAGGGGTTATGTTAAGGGTTGTATCAGGAGTTATATTAGGCGTTATATTAGGAATTATATTGTAGTTATATTAAGGGTTGGTTATATTAGGGGTTATATTAGGAGTTATATTGAGGGTTGTCTCAGGGGTTATATAAGGGTTATATCAGGGTGTTATATTAAGAGTTATTCTCGTACAAGGGAGTTATATTAGGGGGTTTATATTAGGGGTTATATTAGGGGTTATATTAGGAGTTATATTAAGGGTTGTACCAGGGGTTATATAAGGGTTATATCAGGGTGTTATATTAAGAGTTATTCTCGTACAAGGGAGTTATATTAGGGGGTTTATATTAGGGGTTATATTAGGGGGTTATATTAGGGGTTATATTAGGGGTTATATTAAGGGTTGTATCAGGGGTTAGGAGTTATATCAAGGGTTATATTAGGCGTTATATTAAGGGTTGTACCAGGGGTTATATAAGGGTTATATCGGGGTGTTATATTAAGAGTTATTCTCGTACAAGGGAGTTATATTAGGCGGTTTATATTAGGGGTTATATTAGGGGGTTATATTAGGGGGTTATATTAGGGGTTATATTAGGGTTATATTAGGAGTTATAATAAGGGTTGTACCAGGGGTTATATAAGGGTTATATCAGGGTGTTATATTAAGAGTTATTCTCGTACAAGGGAGTTATATTAGGCGGTTTATATTAGGGGTTATATTAGGGGGTTATATTAGGGGTTATATTAGGGGTTATATTAAGGGTTGTATCAGGGGTTAGGAGTTATATCAAGGGTTATATTAAGCGTTATATTATGGGTTGTACCAGGGGTTATATAAGGGTTATATCAGGGTGTTATATTAAGAGTTATTCTCGTACAAGGGAGTTATATTAGGCGGTTTATATTAGGGGTTATATTAGGGGGTTATATTAGGGGGTTATATTAGGGGTTATATTAGGGGTTTTATCATAATACCTGATATAACAACATACATTTTGACGATGCCATAACCACTGTGTTCATTCAGGTGGTTCAGATCAGCCAATCACCTGTGACATGACCAGCAGACAGAGGGCAGCACTGACGATGGCTGCTGCAGTGTCCCGTGTTCACCTCTTATTCACGTGATTGTGGTGTTATTGTGGCCTTTGTGGTGCTGTGGTTATGACTTAGTGGTGCAGGAGTGTTCAGTGATCAGCTGTTTAGAGTGAGGTGTTAATATTTCGTGTCAGTGATCAGTTACGGAGGAATCTGTCTCTGTTCTGATCACGGCCAGAGCTGTGGTTATATACAGTACGTAACTCTAGTTCTGATGCTCATGACCCTTATGGATACAGAAATTTAAGGTGAAAATAGTTCTTCACTTGTTGGTGTGAGAGACCCGACCTTGTTGACATTCCTGGCCAGATGTGTCCTCAACCGCCACAGTAAACTAGCTAACTATTGCTAACTACTTCATTCCCGCGTAGACTGTATCATTTAGATGTCGTGAAGGAAGATTTGTGGTAGTGTACTGAGGACTTCCACACCTACTACACACACGCTGCTACTAAAGGAGGAAGATGGAATTAAATGAAGGAAATAAGGAGGACAGGCCTGAGAGGATAATCTTGCAAGTAAGTATCGTTGTTAAATTCTGGTAAATGCTGTAGAAATGTCACCACCGACCACATGGGCTACATCATGACAAGTCTATTGATCAGTGGAGTGCTTGTGTGAGGTAACGACACAAGCCATGTTGACGATATTCTTATTTTTCAAGGTCTGAGAATATCTGACACCTACTCAGAAATCTTTGCTATTGTTGGAGTCAAAAGTTGTAAAGGTTGGATTCATCACCAACTTTACGCTTGGATGAATTATTATTTTACCATCTTTTCATAATAAAGAGAAGGGTGAAGCATGGAAGAGACAGTGTGAACAGTTTGGGTTGAACAGGAGTGAACATATGGAGAACAAACGGGGAAGTATCTCATCTGAACCTTTAGCCATTTTGAGTTATAACACCACCATTATCTTTACAGCCTCGGTTTTAATTTTTTTGAGCATCGTAAAAAAATAATAATAGAAACTCCTCAATATCCACCTGTTGTGCTGAGTTAGGAGCTGAAACCATTGAACAACATCACATTAGTTGAGAGGTGGAATAAATGAGTGAATATTGTACTAAGAAGTGAATGAGTGAAAAATATTTGTGTTGGGGGGGGGGGGTTGTGTAGCTGTTTGGTTGAGTGATTGTTTATGGAAGAATGTTTTATTTGGATAACATAGTAATAACAATTGCTTTAGTGTGATATTTTGTGATTTTTTTTTTTAATTTTGCCACTTAAAGCGGCTAGTTTTATGTACACCCCCTTGCTCATCCTGTGGGCGGTAGCACAAAAGTATTACAGAGTATGGTTTACAAAGGGTCAGAATAATTAACCCCCGTGGTAAGGATATTATGGCACTGAATTTTACAGAGTATTTCAAATCAATTCTTTGTTTAGTTCTATACATAAAGGACAACTTACTCGCAACTGCGTGAATACAAGAGAGTGAGGCAGAATGTCTCGCCACACACTTTGTTATTCACATTTGCGTGAGAAGTCTTGAAGCACATTGTGTGTTTGGTTCTGTACATGGGAACTGATATAGCTACTTAGTGCAAAAAAAAGTGGATTCAGTCTTAATATGTCGGCTATCTTGCCATTAGAGATGAAGTGTTGTGCCATTTCACACACAGTGTGCTTGGACCTGTCCCTAAAAGGTTATATCTTCACACAGTCGAGGACCCAGTGTTCAAGTGTCTGGCCATATGTTTGACGCATTTAATATATACTTATTTTTACCCAAAATAAGGCATACTAAGACAAATTATGTATCAGTAATACTACATTATGCAAAAACTAACATTTTAAAAGATCAGAATCACACTGAAATATTACACGGCCCCTGAAAATTGGTGGATGAGTGAAACAGGCTTGGCCGATCCAGCGAACAGCCGTCAGTTGAGGCGGGAAATATAACTCTGAACAACTTCATATTTCAGTGATTCTGAACTTTTAAAATGTTAGTTTTTGCATAATGTAGTTTTAATGATCCGAAATTTTTCTTTGTATGCCTTGTTGTAGGTAAAATTAATTGTATATTAAATGCATCCTCCGAAAGCGTGAATTTGTTACCAGAGACAGTGGCGCACCCAGGGGGGTTTTCTGGTTGCCCGGAAACCCCCCCTCCAGGTACTGCATGGTGCGGCCAACCCATACCTGACCTGGCGACACCTTAGTAACACGAAGGTTGGGTCAGCTTACCTGACCTCACCCCACGCCACGGTAACTTCCACCACCTCTGCCATTCCCATGCACCTGGATGCACTTAATATACAGCACTGCCAGACAGTGAGAAATATTGAGATTTAATGTTTTTTTTTTTTTCATTTTCTCATCTACATTGTACATTTTCTATAGATATTACATATTTATAAATTATTTTTCTATCCACTTTCACATATTTGATGATTTCGCAAGTGTGTTTCAAAAAACTGTATCGTAAGATAATACGGCGTAGGAAATCTAGCATGCTGGGTCAGGGAACATGTTCCCACTTCTCTCGTCCTCACTTCACATGTAGTTTTTGGTGTAGTTACATCTACTTTGGATGCCACAGCCTTCAACAACGCTAAGTCTATATACAAAGATTAGGATGCTAAATTACACCATCTTCAACCTCAGATTATTTCCTAAGATTCAGTGTAAATGACGTCAAATATTGGTCAGCTGAAACGGCTCGCTACGCTCGCCAAACTTCTCAGTAATTTGGAAACCCCCCCACTCAATTTCTGGGTGCACCCCTTAACAGTTAATTCATGTATACGATTTCTGATAAACTTCCTACGTGTTCATGTTTGATACAATGATTGTATGTATCTTTATATAATTCAGCTAAATATCTTTCTCGTCAGAAACGGTCATCCCGACGATTATGAATAAACTCATTTAGTAATACATCATTACTTCAGGACGAAATCGGACAGATTTGCAACAGGCAATCAGCTGTAACTCTTGTGGAGGGGGCGGGGCATCTTTTCTCAGCTGGAAAAAAAACTATTTTTCAATTGTATTACCGTTAGATTGAGTCACAACGATAGCATTTCCAACCCTCCCACAGGCGATGTTAAGATATCCATCAATGTAGATCAGCGGTTCTTAACCGGGACGACGCCAAGGCGTGAGTAGTG